AATTAATAGTTATTCTACAAAGCTATGAAATAGAGATATCTTAGTGTTTTTAATGAATAATTCATGTTTTGTGGTTTCTCTGGTAGGTCTTACCTTCCAAGTGCCTGCTAATGTGAGAGGAAAAGAGCCAGTGGCCGGGGTGGATACCAGTCATACTGGCACTAGTGCCAGTTCCACTAATGATGCCAACAGCTGAGGTTTTGTGCCCATCATGCAGAAGGACTTGCCCATTGAAGTGTACAGAGAAGAGCTCTGGCTCAGAGCTCATTCCCAGCAGGTGCCAGCTGACTTTGGAGTGAGCACAGATGTCCAGATCTGGAGGACGACAAGAAGTTTTCTGCGTAAGTAGATTTGCAGAAATGAACATGCTATGTGTGAAATACATCAAACCAACCTGGTACAGAGCCATTTGTGTAGCCATTTATAGTGTATTTGACATCCTGTGTCCGCTGAGGGTCCCCGGTGCTGTACCAGCTCTTGCTCTCATCAAACACTCCGAACAACAGCACAGCCTCCTGATGGAAATGAATCTGATTTCCGGAGCTGTCTAGGGTGCCTGTGGGACAAGGACATGTTCTTCTAAACAAACAGAGCTGTTTATAGTTGTGTAATTTCTGGGAAAGTCCAAATGAGTCTGCATTGTTCTGTAACATTTGAAAATGAGTTCAGCATGTAGCCTACATGATGATGATGTATCATTCAATGTATTACATTATTAACGGAAATAAATGAAGACATTTGTTAATATTCTGACTAAGGCCACATTCTATATCCGAACTCCCATCAATTTTCAGGACTTTCAACCGTATTCTAGGAAAAAACGCGCTGTGTGAATGGAACCGGATTGGACATTCTAGTTGCGTCTTCCGTGTGTTGCAGGTTTTCTTGTGTGGTTACGATAACTAGCAGTGATAGAGATAAGAGCTGTGTGATATCTGAAGGTTTAAGATCCCAATACATCCAGTCACTGTTCTCCAATGGGGCTTCATGCTAGTTTGGTGTTCTACTCTATAAAAGCTGCTGTTGTTGGTTAATGAAGATTTGACAGATAAACTCGACTTACACGTTCATACAGACAGTAGGCCTATTCGAGACGCTACTGTAAGTTGTGCGAACGAGACATTTCGAGATGCACATCAGTAAGTAAATGCGGTTGTCAATCCTCAAGACTGACAGTGTGAATGTAACCTGAATGATTCGGTTTCTACAAAAATCACCATTTCAAATCCATAATAGGTCTGCAAGCATTCATGGCAAAATGACATTTCTGGTTTAACATTTGAAAGCAAAGAAATTAAGACATTATGTATGGATTTAAGAAATTGTTGTTCCGTAAAATAAAATAATAATAATTATTAAATGCTATTTTTTTTATTTTACAGTACAATGATAGCAATAGTATTAGGCCTATTAGTAATATTATTACTATAATAAAATATTCCATTATTTGGTTTCACTGTATAGAGGGTTTTTACCTAGGCTACTACAATTGACAGTAAATCAACGTTTGCATTTTATATCTTATATTTAAAATATAGCAGCTTTCTGCCCCAATTCTAAAGGCAGCATCTTGTCCCAAGAGTTTCACTTGAGCTTTTCACTTAAATAAAATTAAATTAAAAAAAGAAGTGTATTGTACAAATCTAAATGAATTGTGTCCACAAGTCCCCCATTAAAAATATAGGCAAACACTTTTAATATCTAACATAAAATACATTTACAGATCACTATAATCCTTGTCAAAAAAAGATAATTTAATCTCATACCTGTTCAGATATATTTAACAGTCAAGGAAATAAGAGCATAGCTATTTAGTAAATGTGTTGAGATGAGATTTAGTGGTCAGATAAAGTGGAGTCTTAACCCATCTAAGCACAAATATCATAATAAACATCACATTTTAAATCCAGGATCTTGTTTTTTTTTTCTCTCACATACCTTTCTTGCAGATCAGCATTGTGCCTATTAACCCTGTATTGTAGTCCTTGACAATGTCGTAATGGGAAAGGTATGTGTAGGTGAGGCATGGGGGGTCCGCAGCTGTCGGGGTCACCTCAGATGTCACCTCCCAATAATATGTGTGCTCTTGGCCGGGGAGAATGATGTCATCCATTTTCTCAAGAAGTGACGTGTTGTCAAAGTATGAAGATCCTATATGGAAACATTAGTGATGAAAAAAGGATGCAGCTTCATCATACACAAATGAAACTAATGATGAATGAAACTAATGATGATGTATATACGAATGAAACTAAACCATGTATCTTGGTTAACAAATTGTACTTTTGGAAAATTTGAGATATTGTATAGGTAAATATTTATTTATGACTCAATGCTTTGGACTTAGGTACAGCCTGTGGTTAATTTGTATCCTATTTCCAAAGAAATCAAACACAGATGTTTGTGTTGCTCAAGGTGTTTACTCAACTAAATGATGACTACTTAAATAATCCATAATGTCCTTTAAACAACATTCCTCTTGAAATGTATCATCTCTATCATTTCATAGCACCATGTCTATTTGTTACTAACGTGCTGTATATAACAACACTATTGCGTCAATCATACTGTTACCGCAAACACATCAGAACACACACCCTCTGACTGCTTCTCGTAAGCAATGCCGTGTGGGTGAATGCTGCAGGGATGATCAGCCATGTTCTTGAATGTGACAATGATTGTGTCGCCCTCTTGTCCGCGTAATGTAGGCCCAAGTAACCCTAGAGCATTCGTTTTGAACAATCATAATTTAAAACTTAATGTAGCAGTAGTGTAAATGACTTATGCATAAGCATGTATTTTCATACATTAATACCTAATAAATGGATTTTAATATTGAAACAAAGTCAATAGGTGTTCGAAAACAGGTACCTGAAGACAAGGGATGTGTTTTAGGCTGTGTGAATCCCTCATTGTACTCCCTGTATACTACTTTTTTATACGATGGTCCAGTCCTGTGTACAACAACAATAAATATATTGCTGAATTTTTATATGAAATACAAAAAAAAACTAAAATAGGCAAAATGTTAAACCAGTTATATATATATATGCTGGTTTAACATTTAGACTATTTTGTTTTTTTTGTATTTCATATAAAAATGTCTTTGTCACTTGTCCTTGTTTGCCTTGCATATAAAATTGATATTTAAAATATTTAGTTTGAATGCTACTTCTTGTCAGATAACAAACTGTCTCAGGACAGATATGTCATTATTTGATACAGTTTTACAACAGTGAGTTGCTTTATCTCTGAAATACAAGAACCGAACAAATAAAAGACAGACAATTAATATAACTGCTTAGAAAAATACAAGAATCAATTTGAACCCCAACAAATAATGTTATTTTTCATACCTTTGCTGTCCGGCAGATGTGTAGTCCCAGTTAATATTAACAGCTGCAATGTAATAGCGTCTCTCCACAGCTGTTGCACAATGACACAGGAATGCCAGAAGGGCCAAACCACACAGGGCCCCTGGCCAGGAGTGGAGTTTCATATCTGACAATGAAACTCCAGGTAGAAACGGTCTGTTCCGGAGTTTAGGAAATTCTGAACTTTCAGAGAAATGACAGTGAGCTTTATATCCCCCCACCCCTTTGTTGAACACACACAGACACAGACACATGCACAAACACACACACACACTTTACTTCCACATTCGAGGGCAGCGCACTATCATTATCAAAAAACTGAAACTTCTTGTTTTTGTTTAGTCATCATTAGTACTCTGAGGCTTTTTGAACATGTAAAACAATTTTATTTTTGAAAGCAAATGTTATGTTGAATGAAAAACACCAAGTTTCCATGAACATAATTCACTCTCAGAAAAAAAGGTACAAAGTTGTCACTGGAGTTGTGCCCTAAGGTACAAAAGCTAAAAGGTACCAATATGTACACTTAAGGTACTAATACGTACTTTTAAATTCTGTACCATTTACAGGTAAATAAGGTACGAAGATGTAACCTTTTTGCTTTTGTACCTTAGGGTATTGCTCCAGTGACCTGATCTTTTTTCATTCACTGAGTGTGTTTGTCAGTGCCATTTGAATCCCTCCCTTTGGGAACAAATGTGTACAATCTTATAATTTGTGCATGCAGGCATAGATTACACATATGCACAAATATTGCAAATTTTCATAATGCAACCAACTAACTACTATCTGCACAAAATGAAGAGGTACTTACACCGTAATTATGAAATCAGAACTAAATGAATGTGGGCTTCAGTTTCTGTGAAATACCATCGCAACATAACTCCACCCCAGACAGCCATTATAAGGATTTACTCATAATCCTTTTGATTTCCCTTGAATAGTTTCTTAATACATTGTTTGTTTACAGTGTACAAGTTGCATAGATGTGTGAGTAAAATGAGTCATGCATCTGAAGATTACTGTCTGGACTTTGTTTAACACTTACCTCCAACTCTTTGAGCATCACGTCATAATAATAACAATAATAAAGGAAAACAACATTTGTTGTTAAAAACCAAACTTTATGTGATTTGGCGCATGACTCACACATGACTAAATTTCCCTAAGAAGTGCCTGTTGGGTGAAGATCATAGACTGTAAAAAGGTGAAGACATAGGCTACTTGAAATTTCCTAAAAATCTACCCTTGTTAAATTTTCCAGACAGAAGCTGAGAAACACTGAACACAAATATGGAAAACTACTTTCAATCCTAAAGTATACTAACAAAAATACATTAAAACTTTAGAAGATATTTTTTCTGTATATTTTTTTCTGGAAACATTTTAACACTTTATTTATTATCCAACCAATAAAAATAAAATAAAAATTGTTGCAGATTTTACATTCAGTGATTAAAATCAATACTAAAATCTTCTTTAACTGTGACTAAAGATCATTTTAATATTCATCAGCTAGCCACGCCTTCGCCGTTGAAAGTCAGTGTGATCATATTAATATTAATAAGCAAAAGCCCGTTGCCCTGCAACGTCAAATAAAATAATGACGTGGCTTTTGATGTACGCATGCGCAAAGATGCGGAAGTCGTGGGCAGGTTGTTTGTTGGAGTGAGAACATATGGGCAGGTAAATAAAGCACCGAATATGAATCTGTTTGTGCTTTATCACGATATTCACATTATAATAGACATATTGTAAATATCCTGTCTTGTAACTGGATGCTGCACTACTTTTTTATTGCGTTACGAACATCAGAACAATCAATATCGAATTGCACAATGTTGGGAATGTGATGATCCACATCATTGTAAATCCTATTATTAATTTGCGTTATAATAATGTAGTTGTTTACATATTATTTAACATTTTTTTACATTAAGAATGTCTATTTCTATATTTCTAAGATCACAGTAAGTCATAATCGTCTATAGTTATTATTAATTTTGTAGTTTGATGTGTATAAACAGTGCTGTACTGAAAGATATAACATTTAAACAATGTCATTGCCTTCACATGAGACACAATGTTCATGTTCATTCTGAACCATCTGTAAACACTAAACCACAATGTTCCATGATTCCATGATTTCATCGCTGGATGTTTTGATGGTTGACTCATAATTTGTGCTTGTGAATCATGTTGAAAATAAAGCACTAGATACAGAAGGCGGCAGGTCTTGACAAATTGGTATTTGAGTAGTAAAAGGGTATGGAGAGACCAATCTGATTTATTATTTCATGAAAACGTGTAATTTTTCAGTGATATGAGTGTGGTTAATATGATTGTCTGATGTTTTCTCAGTGATCCTGTCCATCCATCCTCCTATGACCAGCCTCAGCTCACGTTCTCCATAATGGCCCGGTCCTCTTCCTCCTCTTCTTCCTCTTCTTCATGCTGCTGTCCCTGCTCGCGGCTGTGTTCTAGATCTTCAGTCTACTCTTTGGCTCTGGGTCTGGGTTTTGTCACCTTGGGAACCAGTCGTATCCTATTACTAAAATTCTCAGCCAATGAAGGTAACATATTACACCACCATGGAGCAACTTAATGTATGATTCCTTAACATAATACCATCAATAGATAACTTTACTTTTTGCAAAGTAGAGAATTTTAAATGTTATTAAATCTGTCTTTTTCTAAATTACAGAAAACAAATATGACTTTCTTCCTGCATCTGTGAATTTAATGGCAGAGGCCATCAAACTAGTATTTTGTTTAGTGATGTCAGTACGGGTGATCATTCAAGGTGAGTCAGATTTGTTGTCCTAAAATACCATTCTCATTAATATACTAAGCTGCTATACAGTCTTTTGAATTGTGATGTATGTCATTATTTCAGCATATGTGCTGATTGATTTGTTATGGGACTAGAACAATTGCTTTTGTTTTCCAGAGGGCCGCTCTTATAAAGATTTGGGATGTTCATCTGGTGCCTCTTTTCTCAGCTACCTGAAGTGGTCTGTTCCTGCATTCCTCTACTTCCTTGACAACCTTATAATCTTCTATGTGATGACCTACCTGCAACCTGTATGTTGGATTATTAAAAACCTTTAGTGATTTATAATATGTTAGTAGTGAAATAACTTGCCTATATAAATAATAATAAATAAATAAAAAATCTTCTGACATTAGTGTAATTAAATTCATATAAAAAATAAATAAATGTACACATACACTACCGTTCAATAGTCTGGGGTCAGTGAGATTTAAAAAAAAAAATGGTTTGGGTAGATGTTTATTTGTATTTATTTGATTAAAAATACAGTTAAATTAGTAATATTGTGAAATATTATTACAATTACAATTTTTTATGTTTTGAAATGTAATTTATTCCTGTGATGGCAAAGCTGAATTTTTAGCATCATTACTGTCATTACCAGTCTTCAGTGTCACATGATCCTTCAGAAATCATTCTAATTTGCTGCTCAAGTAACATTTATTTGGTGTATTATCAATATCGAAGACAGTTATGCTGCTTATTTACACATTCTTGTGTAAACCGTGTTACTTTTTATTAGGAATCTTTGATGAATAAAAAACAGCATTTATTTAAAATATACTTTACTTTACTGTTACTTTTAATCAGCAATGAATTTAATTATTCATTTTTTCTCATGTTCTAATAGGCTATGGCAGTAATGTTTTCCAACATTGTTATTTTTACAACAGCCCTTCTCTTCCGAGTCGTTCTGAAGTAAGTACGGGCATTTCTTGTTATCTATCTGTTATCTATCCTTGAAATATATCCTTTGCTGACTTTTCATCCTTTGGCCTACAGGAGGCGCTTGTCTTGGGTGCAGTGGGCATCTGTGATCATTTTGTTTCTGTCCATTGTGTCGTTGACCACTGGCAGTGGTGACCAGCATGCCATCGCCGTACATGGCCTCCACCCAGCCCACATTTCCACCCCTTCCAACAGCTGTCTGAAATACGCCCATCCCGAGGTAAAGCATCAAAACCATAATGAAACGTACTGGACACGTGAGCTGTGGGACAGTCAGCTCATCCACAAGCTGAACAGCTTCGGCCTGGGTTACGTCCTACTGCTGCTGCAGTGCTTCATCTCTGCGCTGGCCAACATCTACAATGAGAAGATCCTCAAAGAGGGGGAGCAGCTCGTGGAGAGCATCTTCATCCAGAACAGCAAGCTGTATGTGTTCGGTTTGATCTTCAACAGCCTCACGCTGCTCCTGCACTCTGACTTCCGTGAATTGACGGTGCACTGCGGCCTCCTCTACGGCCACAACATCTTCTCCATCGCCCTGGTCTTCGTCACAGCCGCTCTAGGCCTGTCGGTGGCTTTCATTCTCAAGTTCCGTGATAACATGTTCCACGTTCTGACGGGTCAGATCACCACGGTCATCGTCACTGCGCTCTCTCTCTTCCTATTTGACTTTCGCCCATCGATGGATTTCTTCCTGCAGGCGCCTATAGTACTGCTAGCCATCTTTATCTACCACAGCAGCAGACTGAAAGATCCAGAGTACACTCTGCAGCAGGAGAGGCTCAGGGTCATCAATGGAGAGGTGTTTGAGAGGTCAAGAGGGGTAAGGGTCAAATATAGACTTGCTTCATTTTAAAACGTTGGTCACTTGCAGCTCAGCTAATCATTTGTTTAATTCGACCCGTTCGTTTCCACCTTCATTTTTGAAGTACACACTGACAGTTTAAACAAGGGGCTCTTTGTAGAGGAGATCTGGCAAACTATAATCTGATTAAGTGTGGAGCAAAGCCCTAACTTAGATTATTGCATTATTTGGATCAAATATATCATGCAGCAGGGAATTCTATTAGTGGCTTGTTGGCACTTATAGAACGCATTTTTCTGAGACGCAGTCGAGTGGAAAAGATCCGTTTTTAAAAGTTCCCTTCTAACTTCTTTCTAATTTGATGATGGCATTTAAAATAGCCGTGAGACTGCGCAACGTTCAAATTAAGACCCCCGTCTAACGCACGTTTACCTAGAAAAATGACTAAAAAGCAACTCAGTGTAACGCAAAAACATGAGAACCAGCCCTGCTTGTTTCAACAAGCTACATAGTTCCAAACGAGTTAGTGTTGTCCATTTAGTTTCCATTTAGCATTTGTGTGTGTGTGTGTTTCAGGTCTTTTTTAATATAGACATTTGCTAGACAGAAGTATTTGACTGGTCCTTCACTTCTCATTGCCTTTTTGGTTTCTCACTTGACCGCCATTTATTTTAAAAGCTGTCAGGTTAAAAAAAGGTAATCTATAAAAAAAAAATGTGTTTCTATGGCTTGTTTCTATCTATGTGCCTTCATAATCTTTAATCAAAATAACTTCCCTTCCTCTTGCAACAACATCTCTTCTGTGTTTGCAACAAACAAGTTTGCAAAATTCAAGTCCCACCCTACATTCTTTCTTGTTCGAGAAGCCGGTATACGTCACAATAGGGAAGAAAAGAGTATCACAACTTCAGGTGCATGCCGACTTTAAATGCAAAATCGTATTCTGTATGAACGACCCCGTTATTTCCTGAACATACAGTACTGTATGAACCTTTTTCATTGGATCTACTGCATCATCTAATAAATCACCAAAAGCTGTCAAGTTTTTCTGTATAACTACAGTGGTCTAAAAAAATATGTTTGTAGTATTTCATGATTGTGCGTCATGTTTTTATTTTAGGATGGGGAAGAGTTGGAGAGGCTTACGAAGGCTAACACAGAGAGCGAATCGGAAGAAGAATCTTTTTAAGTCAGTTTTGAATCTCTCTAATTATCGTGTAAATATTCTGGATTCAGCCTGTGTATATGTATAATGAATGACAAGTGTTTCAATCACATGGAATGTCTATGAGACTAGGGATCAAAGAGTTGTTTAATACGGTATATTGTCCTCTCTTACAAATTGTTTGTATAACCATTATGAGCATGTAACAACCTCAGGAGGTTTTGTGAAATTATTGCTTTCATTTTTATTGGTTGGACTGTTATTTGTTTCTTCATACAGTAGTTGACTGTGACATAAGGTGACAGTGCAGGTATTAAAGTAAGAGGAACTCATTTTAATAAACATCTCTAATGGGAACAATCACATTTCAAAGCATCATGTATAATGGGCCATACTGTGGATGCATGTTGTATTTAATGAAATATGACCTTTAAAAAAATATGTGGGTTTTTGGAATAATAAAGTCCACATTTTAATTGTATATGCTCAAATAGTTGCTTAATACTGATATTTTGTGGCAACTGCCAACATATCACTGACCAGCAGAGGGAAATAAAGCAAAGAAAAAGTCAAACTCATTTAGTTTGACATGGTGCTTAAGTAGGCTGTATCAGGAAAGTGCCTTTATAAAATAAGGGGGGAAAATTCAAGCGTCACATAAGCACATAATTCCCAACTGTAGTGTACATCAGTTCAGCTTATATAGAGTTTGCATGATGACCTGTAATGTTTAGAGCGTATTATGACCAAAGGCATATCAGTATATTTTTTTTTATTGAAATTAAAGCACAATTTATACGTTTATAAATAAGACAGTGCTCTTTAAAAATAGAGTAACAATACAGTTCAACACGAAAAAGCAGGTTGTGACCTTTAAAAATGATCACTTCTTATAGTGAAGACATTCAATAAATACAAATGTTTCGACAACGTCTTTTATCTACAAAAGATTATGTCCATAGGGACAGATGTATAGCAGATAAGATGCATCTTTAAATATAAATATATCAGCTGTATATGATAATTATAAAACCAGTTCAGAAAGGAAGTTTTCAGTTATTTCTTACCGTGACACTGTCTTATGAATGTTATAAACCCTAATATCCATAACCCTGATGATAGCCATCCTGATAGCCGTGGTGGTAACCGTAGCCACCGTACTCATCTTCTGGGCAGCGCATGCCTAGAGACTGCTGGATGGCCATTTCCTGTCTGCGGAGCTGCATGGAGTCGATCAAGTCGTAGATGATGGCCATGGACCACATGGGAGACGGGTACCAGGACTTGACATTTCCATCTTTTCCCACCAGCAGCATGGAGAAGTATTCAGGGCTGATCTGGAAATAGTTTCTAATGTCCCGCACTAGACTGGCAGATATCCCCTCACGCTCCACCGTTGCACTTCCTGAAACAGATACACGTGTCGGTGTCAAAACCGTCTATGGTCAAAACATGGGTGTGCACCATGCAGATAAACAAAATATGGTGGAGATACAGGAAGTTCTGCCATTTGTGCACCACAAATGACTTAATAGGATACTGAACTTCACAATATTTGACAGATTTGAGTTTGGTGTGTAATGCAAAACAAGTTTATTTTAAAAATGTTAAATCTCAAATAGTTAAACTACACTACAGTTTAAAAGTTTTGGGTCAGTGAGATTTGAATTTTTTTGTTTTTGAAACAAATACTCCCCAAGGAAACATTTATTTGATCAAAAATACAGTAAAAACAGTAATATTGTGAAATATTACAATTTCAAACAACTGTTTTCTATTTCATGATATTTTAAAGTGTAATTTCTGTGATGGCAAAGCTGAACTTTCAGCATCATTACTTCAGTCTTCAGTGTCACATGATCCTTCAGAAATCATTCTAATATGCTGATTTGGTTCTCAAGAAATATTTATTTTTTATCAATATTGAAAACAGCTGTGCTGCTTAGAATTTTTGTGGAAACCGTGATACATTTCTTTCAAGATGGTTTAATTAATATAATGTTGAAAAGAACAGATTTTTTTGTAGCATTATAAATGTACTGTCACTTTTGATCAATTTAATGCACCCTTGCCCAATAAATGTATTCATTTATTGTGGAAAGAAAACATACTAAGATGAAAAAACAAATACTGTATTATATTTCATGGGAAAAATAATGTATATAAAGGATCACACACACACACACACACACACATACATATATATATATATATACACTCACCGGCCACTTTATTAGGTACACCTGTCCAACTGCTCGTTAACACTTAATTTCTAAGCAGCCAATCACATGGCGGCAACTCAGTGCATTTAGGCATGTAGACATGGTCAAGACAATCTCCTGCAGTTCAAACCGAGCATCAGTATGGGGAAGAAAGGTGATTTGAGTGACTTTGAACGTGGCATGATTGTTGGTGCCAGAAGGGCTGGTCTGAGTATTTCAGAAACTGCTAATCTACTGGGATTTTCACGCACAACCATCTCTAGGGTTTACAGAGAATGGTCCGAAAAAGAAAAAACATCCAGTGAGCGGCAGTTCTGTGGGCGGAAATGCCTTGTTGATGCCAGAGGTCAGAGGAGAATGGCCAGACTGGTTCGAGCTGATAGAAGGGCAACAGTGACTGAAATAACCACTCGTTACAACCGAGGTATGCAGCAAAGCATTTGTGAAGCCACAACACGCACAACCTTGAGGCGGATGGGCTACAACAGCAGAAGACTCCAACGGGTACCACTCATCTCCACTACAAATAGGAAAAAGAGGCTACAATTTGCAAGAGCTCACCAAAATTGAACAGTTGAAGACTGGAAAAATGTTGCCTGGTCTGATGAGTCTCGATTTCTGTTGAGACATTCAGATGTTAGAGTCAGAATTTGGCGTAAACAGAATGAGAACATGGAACCATCATGCCTTGTTACCACTGTGCAGGCTGGTGGTGGTGGTGTAATGGTGTGGGGGATGTTTTCCTGGCACACTTTAGGCCCCTTAGTGCCAATTGGGCATCGTTTAAATGCCACGGCCTACCTGAGCATTGTTTCTGACCATGTCCATCCCTTTATGGCCACCATGTACCCATCCTCTGATGGCTACTTCCACCATGTCACAAAGCTCTAATCATTTCAAATTGGTTTCTTGAACATGACAATGAGTTCACTGTACTAAAATGGCCTCCACAGTCACCAGATCTCAACCCAATAGAGCATCTTTGGGATGTGGTGGAACGGGAGATTCGCATCATGGATGTGCAGCTGACAAATCTGCGGCAACTGTGTGATGCCATCATGTCAATATGGACCAAACTCCCTGAGGAATGCTTCCAGCACCTTGTTGAATCTATGCCACGAAGAATTGAGGCAGTTCTGAAGGCAAAAGGGGGTCCAACCCGTTACTAGCATGGGGTACCTAATAAAGTGGCCGGTGAGTGTATATATATATATATATATATATATATATATAATGTGGTGGGGAGGTCCTTCAAAATGGAGAAATTATGATTTCTTGGATGTTTAGTAACCTTTTGAAATGATAAAATAAAATAAAAAAGATATATTGGTCTACCACCTTTCCTTCCATTTATTCATCTTTTTTCCAAAAGTAAATAACACTGACCGTCTCTAAATGAAGAGCCTTTTAATATAGTAATACAAATCTTTGACAAAACATTTTCAAATAGAAACCAGATTTAATTTTATAAAACCAACATGTTTTTCATCAGATATTGACATTGCTTTCATCTTACATAGAAGACTTGAGTTCCAGCACTCTAAATACAGATCACAGAATCACTTTTTGATCTTAATGTATCAGACAGACTGCGAATGCACAGGGGTCTGGGTGCCAATGAAGGCAAAGCTGTCTGTAGTTTCAACAATGATGGAAAATATGTAAACACCTGAGCCCTCTTTCATTTCTGTCCTGCAAAATATAACTCCTGTGGGAACTGTTTGGACATTTCTGAGCCCGGCCGGAGCTGGAGAGGCTGAGTCATGCAGGGAGGCGCCTGAAACCAGAGGCTACTGGCTACTTTTGACAGACAAAAAAGCAGCCAATGTCAACACAACACCACCGCTCTCATCTAATGTGCTGATTAACCCTTAACACACTTACTAAACACCTGGCTGCTGTGGCAGCTACAGGTATGCTTTTCATATTTTATAAGTGACCACAATAAATAAGCATCTGGGTCAGCTGATATTTTAAACTGCTTTTTAAAACACTGCTACACATGTTTACATACACGTTAATAGAGCTTTTCGCACCACAAAGTCTATATATAACATTTTAGGAGCACTCTTAAAAATAAAGATTACAAAAGGAGGTAGAAGATCCATTTTGGGTTCCCCAAATAACCTTTAAGTGAACAGTACTTAAAATAACCTTTTTTTCTTAGTGTAAAGAACTTTTTACTAATCTCAAGAACCTTTTCCCACAATAAATAACCTTTTGTGCAGTGGAAAGATTCATCATGGAACAAAATATGCCAATAAAGAACCTTTCATTTTAAAGTGTGTAGACGGAAGTGTCAAATCTTTTTTTGTTAGTGTTTCGGCGGCAATGGTCTTACCATTGATGGGGTAAAGCTCTAACACTCCTCCCATGTCTATCAGATCTGTCCCCACCAGCTTCAGTATTGATACATGGCGAAGACCTGCAAATCGACCAACACAAAAGGAATTGTAAGGTTAAAGTGCAACAGACTAAAATCTAAACACCCCCCTGAGTCTTCAAATGTTCCCCTGTTGACATTTAGGCTGTTTAAGGGCATGTCTGTGGCTTAACTGTTGCTAATGGAATATGTGGGTGATGTATTAATAAACAGAAATATTTCTCAAGTCATTTATGTTTGAATTGATTGCCAAATTCAAATCCACTGTGGTAACCGATGTCAGTTTAAATGGAAGAGAAAGCCAGTATTTTCTTCTTCTTCTTTTTTTCCGTTCATGTCTTGTCAAACATCATTCTTATTGTTCTAAGATCTTTTCCGGGTCACATTCTGCCACATAATATTTTTTTTACAGAGCTACGCAAGTTGTGACATCAGTTTGTAGTCTTATCTTACATGGGTTCCCTATGATATTTTTAATACTGATTTTTTAAATAGCAGTTTAAAATGTATGAGTAAAATAAGGCATGTGGTTAACATTATTTGAAGACACTTTCACACCACCTAAATTATACATATTATTATTTACAGGTGACACAAATCATACGTCATGTGAAATATGAAGCAGCTGTTTTTTATGCAAGTTGCTAACAAGTTGTTAAATTGCTATTATTTACAACTAGGAACATCTCTATGATTTCCACACTCATTTCATGTGGAATGGGGTTCTTCTGGACTAAGAACATGAGGTTACACCTCACTGTTAGCTGTTCCAGGTGTGGTCACTGGCCTTGGTCAACACTTAAGACCAATAGGTATGGAACTGGCTAGAAAACAACTACTAAATATATATTCTTGGAAATAAGTCAAATCCACATAGTCTATGCAAAGCTATAATATAAAAAGGAGGTACTCAAGAGCTTGCTGCAATGGTGAATAAATGCTTAGCTAATTACATGAGTTATATGCTTGTCAAGATTTCTGGGACAAGATACAAAATGGCAAACATTCAATGCTGTTGTCTGTGTCAAGCTTATTTTGTGGGAAACATTTCTGACTGTAAGTATCATTGGGAATACACATTGTTCTTGGGAATAATACCAAGAAAAATTCCAAATCCATAACTCAGTGGAGTTTATAAGAACTGGCTTGGTCTGAACTACAGTAACAACGATCTGGTTTCAATCTTCGCTGAGTGACAAGAGAAAATCAATGTAAGATATTATCTTGGCAAACTTGAGACATGAGAAAGAACCATATGCAAACCCTGCGGGTAAAAAGATCAATTTGTAGTAAGAGTCCCTAAAGAATAACTACCCCTGCAATAATGTGATCTGGTGATTTTATTGAAATTCTCCTTCAATGACATCATATAGTTCAGTGATTATCATGCTTACCCAGGTTGCACGCCTGACTGGTCAGTGCGTAGAGTTGTTGTTGATAGGCCCATTCCTCATCATTTGGTGCAGATATGACAAACAATCTACGTCTCCAGCGGAACCTATGCGATGAAAGAACAAAATCATTAGATCAATGCAGGTGTGGATTAATGCATGGGCAAATCTAGGTTGTAGCAATGGGCCCACCTGATCAGCAGTTTTTGCAAATATTTTCTGATCTAGTTCTACATTACTAGTAATTCGGAGTGTTACTGGATAGAGGTTTGAAAATAACAGGCAATTGATGAGAACACAGCGCACATGCAACATTTGACGGTTACCAATGCAAGTGGGGAGCGCTCGTTTTCTGGCGCTTGTCAAGAACAGGTACTGTTACTCTGACCATGCCCAACGCCATTGGATCAAAGCGCTGTCCATCACTGCCTTATTTGCTGCCCATTAATATAAATAAATTTGACAATGCACAGTTGGATCAGAGCCCTGTCAATGCTTTGGCAATGTAAAGCCTTTTTACCATGTCAATAACGCTACTTGAATCTGAATTTGTCAATTGCTGATCGATTTAAAATGCAGAGATTTTCAAACAGGGGGAGAGACCACAGACCAGATTTCTGTTCATGGTATATGAACACTCAATTATATATTTTGAAATACAGCCCAGTTTGCACTTACTTTTGTGTGACTGATCAAGCTATTATATGTAGCAAGTACGAGTAGCAAAAATGCTTTCTCTGATTTGACACTAACAAATTATGCAAAAACTGACACTTCAAATTAACTTATATGTGTGTGAAATGCTATGAATTGTATTCAGTATATAATGAGATCAAAGACAGCTTGTGATGGCATAAAAGCACAGATTTAATTCTTTTGGAGATCCCCCTGTGAGCCCTGGCTCCAGCACAGCACAATTTCACTGGAAAAAGCTTTACCTGGAAAGGAAGTTCTCCAATGATCTTGGCTTGTCTTCTTTTTTACACGTCACCCCATCACGTTTCTGTTGTTCCATCTCTCTGATGCGCGAGGAAAACGTGTCGATATAGTCAAAAACAGCCTTCATTGCAATTGGCACTTCATAGTATTGCTGGAAATAATAAAAAGAGATATACAACTTAGAGAAATATACAGCCTTATAAAGGGTTAGAAACCGAATACCTTTACTAGTAAGGGGATTTTCTCAATAGGTTCTGAGCAGCCAAGAATGCCGAACGTAAAATGATGTGTCAAATTGACAGAGCTGTGAAGAATTCTTGACATTTTTCTGCAAACCACAACAAATATGCTGGTCAAGCAAGAATGCAATGCAAAAATCACATTTCTTCTGTGGAAGTTATACAGTCTATAGACACCCATTTTTATTATTGTGTTTAAACTGTATTATTTCATTGTATTATTATACTTTGTGTTATTATTGTTTAATATAATGTTCATTCATATTTATTATTACTCTAATATTTATACTTAATTTATTATGTAAACGCCTACATTTAATGCAAATGCTACATTATTTAATTTGTTTTATATTGACCATTACATCAAATACAGCTCATGAAGGCACTGAATTAAATTACTTTGGATGTTAAAACATGTTCTCAAAACAAAAAGTAAAACTCCTTTACAAGGACCGTGATAATCCGTTTTTATTTGTGGGCAGTTTATGTATAGTCAGTTGTGTCAACATTAAGCTCTCACAACTCTATCTAAACTCTACATGCCCAGAATTAAATCAGCATTCGTGGGTGTCTCTGAGGATTTTCAATAAATTTGACTTTCTATCCACCTCCTGACTGCACAGTGGCTTCTTTGTTTATTCCAGCTGTCTGCAAACAGAACTCAGCTTTGCGCGTACCGCTGAAAAGCACTGTGGAAGAAGAGAGCTTTAAAGCTGTAAAAATGTACTGCGTGCCATGTTACGTGTCTTTTACCTTCGCTTTCATGTCCAGATCTGTGAGGACCATGTAGAAATCGCTGTAGGTCATTCCATACTCTTTCCTCAGCTCCGTGATGAGATTCTGGTTCTCCAAATCCTCCTGTCTCAAACCTTTCATGGGCTTGTCATTCTCTGCAAAAACGCCACACAAAATCCCACAGACTGATCAACCAACCAGAGAGATAAATACAGAAGATTACAGATGGCTCCACAGTCTGCTAGTTTTGTTTTGACTGCAGTTCAAAGAGACATGCGTGTCTTTCATAACATACAGTACGTAGGGCGACCCCTCCAGTGGGGTCAACGCCGGTAGAACTCGGGACACTGAGGCCCTCTGCTATACGAGTAGCCCAATGCTGTTCTGCTGTTTATCTAAACGGAAAATCACCAGACATGCAGTCTTTTAATGAATTGCTGCAGGGCCTTATGGCTGTTCTGTGTGTTTATTCTGGGAACATGGCTTCCTTTGCTCTAAAAGAGACAGATAAAAACAGAGCAACTCATGTGAAAGGACCCTCTTTAGTCTGTGGAAACTCTGCGGGTGCATGAGACAGCACGGGAGGATGCGGCCGACCCAAAATATTTGTTTTCCTTTCCACAAAATCCAAAGAATTTCTCACTCTGATTTCTAGCGGACAACAAAACAGATGGTTTAAGGCACTCCACTTTCAGCACGGGAGGTGAACTACAATCAAAAACGAATCAAATCGGAGGCAAAAGGGTATTTCTTCCTATAAACATTGGGTTTTCATTAAATATGCTCTTTATTTATCTCTCAGGGCAAAAATAAATACTAAGGAAGCTTTAGGCATATTTCCTACTCAATGACACTAGATAAAATTAACTCGCAGTCTTAATATAAAATATAAATAACTATCATTTTTAAATAATAATGATAAAACGAAACAGCCTTTCTGCAGAGTTACATCATAGAAATTACAAACGGAAAATGAAAGATTAGGTTTAGCCTCAGCAGTGCTCCTAATTATATGCCTACCATAGCCACAGCAGAGAACCTTTAATTGTGGTTCAGGAACCACTGATCATACAGTCAGTCATGTTTCCTTTCTAGTACCTCTGATGCTGCACTGGAACCAGTCACAGTGAGCTGGCAGGCTATAAATGCTCAGAATGTGCCAGACAGATATATGCGATCACAGAGAGCCTTGTGTTCACTATGGAGAGATGTTTATGAGCACCTGCTTTGCTCCTATTTGTCCATCCTGTGGCAGCGAAAGTGACCCCTCACACACAACCATGTGACACAGTCCAGACTGATGAGTATATGGAACAAAAGTCAAAGCAGTGACTCATTCAGAGGCAGTCCAGATTATGATGATTTCATTATTATTTCACAGCATTTTGTCTTAATGCTTGTAGAATTGTGTGACGTCTGGAGAATTATCAATAACAGTGACAACCAGGGCTGCGCAAAATATGGGATTGAAGAATTGGCTTGATTTTGAAATGTTTTTTTTTTAAAACAAGTTTTTTAAAAACAGTTAAAATTACAACTATGAATTTCAAGTCATTTCAAATCTACTTACATTCCAATTCAAATTCCAAAAACAGGAATTGGAATTTAAATGGCATTATCAATTAAATTCTGAATGGCCCAGCCGCCCAGGTAGAATTCAAAGTAAATTTTCAGATAAAACTCTGGTGTTAATTCACTTTTGGAGTAGTGCATCAAAAATGTCCAATGAAGAAATTAAAAGAGTAGAGTAATGTATGCTATATCTACACTCCCTACAAAACTGTCTCGCCTGCCAAGAACTGACTGCTGTTACTGAGCTAAAACTCTCCAGTCAGAATATCAGCTACAAAGGAAACAGACATTTTCCCATGTCTTGGATAATGAACAAGAGAGAATAACGTGCCATGGCAGACTCTGCTCCCAAACTTCCATTTGATTCATCTAGCAGCATTTCGTGACACTTGAACAAGCACCATTCACTCCATTCCCAGACCAAACTTCAAGTTCCTTTGCTGTGAGGTTTTGTGTCATATGAGGTCATAATCTGAAAAAGTGCTTCCCTAACTTACAAGTGAGTGCCAACTGTTGGATAAAAGGCCTTTTTTGTTTCCCATACAATTAATAGCTCTAAATCTCCACATAAGAAAATGGCTTGTGTTTATCATATCCATCTTCGGCCTAATCATTCATAGCTGCATGTCACAACTAGTAAAGCTCTCAAAGAACAGGAAACAGTTGTTCTTTTTTTATGAACGTTGCAGGATTTTATGATGGGTGGCCTGAGTTCAGTTTGTCTCAGTGGGAATGGATAGAATGCTTTGACCGGAACTTCCATAACCTGTGCTTAAATGTCCATATGTCAACCATGACATGGATTCTCAGCAGTTACTGTTTAAGAATGAGGAAAGTAAAACAATAGAAAAAGATAACAGGAAAAATGCATGCAGTGTTGAAAACCTTCTCCTATCATTTTGTAAGAGTTATGCTAACTGAAATGATGGTTGGTGGTTTGAATAAAATCAAAAGTGGCTTACCAAGTTGATAATGATCTATCTTCATGGTGCTGTTTGTAAGTGTGCCAAAGATGGTGATGATGGAGACCTTTCTGATTGCCATCTCACACACATGTTCCAAGTATTCATCCCTCTGCTGAACATACATGTTGTTCTCCTCTGTTGGAGAGGTGATCAACTGAAGTAAAGAGTTTAAAACAGAAGAACAGTAAATAATATTATAATAAAGAAATCCACATTTCTAAATCAGACTACTTACAAAGCTACTCACAATTAGTCTCCTTCTGCTTTCAAAATAGTCCAAAAAGGTTGCCAGAGCTCCTTTAGGTGGTGGAGGCGGTGGTGGTGGTCTCTTTGTTGGTTTCTGATATTCTTCTTTCTCGTGGATCTTCGAAACTTTCTTTCCATTTTTCTTACTGCCCTTTCCATCCTTTCCCCTCCTCTCCGCCTTGTCTTTCTTGGACAACTTTTTCTTCTTTTTATCTGTCTTGCCCTTGCCTTTCTTGACGGGCACAATCTCTTCCTCCTTCTCTTCAGGATAGCCGTCGGTGGGCCCACCTACATCATATTTCTCCTCGTAAGCATTGCTAATTTCCTTATCGCCATTCTTTTTCTTCGTAGGCTTAACTTTAGGTGGTTTGTGTTGTGTAGGTATAATGTTGGTATGTCTGTGGTTGTATTCTTTTTTATCAGTGCGGTTGTCCCTGTATTTTGCTGTGTCAGCCTTGGTATAGACGGGAAGTGTCGTGGGTGAGGTTGTCTGGAATCTGTCCCTTCGGTTGTAATAGTAAGGCTCGGCGGTGGTCTTGTGGGCTGGGATCCATTGTGGGGTAGTATGAGCTCTGGTCGTCCTTGGAGTGGTGGTGGCCCGCGTTGTGGTCGGCCGTGTTGTTGTCGTTGTTGTGGTGGTGGATCGAGTTGTCGTTGGGGGACGTGTGGTGGTGGTGGTAGTTCCTTTGGTAGTGGTTGTTGGTCTTGTTGGAGTTGGAGTTGTTGTTGTGGTCGGTCTTCGTATGGGTTTCCGCTCCTCTCTTCTCCTCTCTGTTGGTGGGTCCATTTGGGAGTCAGTGCTGGGGACACCCTCGACCACCTGACCCTCCACCCCAGCCCCTTTACACTTCTGCACAAAGCCTTTCTGCCTGACTTTCTCCATTTTGCGCATAGGCGACTGGTCGATAACTTCATACATCGCTTCCAGTCTGACAGGGTATGGGTAGCGCTCCTCTACCTGAAGCGTCTTCTTAAGAAGGACCATCCCAAACTTTCCTTTCTCTAATTTAAGAATGTTCATGAGCCTGGGAATAAGAGTCGTATCCAACGGCTCTTCCATCACTTTGCCTTCATTAGTAATGCGTCTGATTTTCCCACCCAACTCCCCTTCCTGGTGAAACATGACAATCTGATGCACGTGCCGCTCTGCCAACTCACAGTAAACCTCTGGTTTAAGAAGACTCATCATCAATCTGTAGTAACCATCAGAGTCGTGGGGTGCAGAAATAACCAGCAGGCGATTTTTCCCCGCAAATGACGCCAATAAGTTTGGAGAACCGGCACTGTTTGGCATGCGGGATACTCTGGCCCTGGCTCCAGGTGTTCCATCATCTTGCTGGATTGGATTCATAGCCCCACCCTGTGCTGGTCTCCTTTGTACCAAGATTTTTCTGGATTGGACATTCCTGGTAACGTTTATACCTTCATCTCCCTGCAACTGCTGGCGTTTATCATTGATCCATGAAGAAGTACGTGTTCTGATAATCTGACCCTGTTGTGATTTGTTTTGTCTTGCTCGTCTTATGGACAGCATTCTGAGTTTTGCTTGTTTATCGGTCGGGCTGCTCTCTGACACGTAAACAGCCCATGTAAACAGACACAAAACACCGAAACCAAGCATGTACCTTCCCCTCATGTTTGAAAACTTCAGATACACTTAAGTCAGTAGAGAGATACAATCCATTAAATAGTCATAAGATCCGATGTATTTTTATAGAGTTTATAATTCTGATGCTCAGTGCAAAACAGTGCAAAAGTTCGTTAAAACCATCTTTAGATACTTAACAAACCAATAAAATTATTTCTTTAATAAAGACAAAAGTTATATCGATCTTTGTTTACCTGTAAGTGCGTTTAGGAAACATTTGAACATTCAGCGCGAGATATGGCTGATTCAAAGCAAAGGGGCATTTACTGTTGCCCACCGCCAAATTTTCTCATCTCAACGTTCCTATATTGAAATACATAAAATCCTTTAACCAACTGAAAATAGTTTCCATGAAGTCAAGCTCCGGTCCTTAGTCAGTCTTGAGAGGTTTGACACGCGCCACTTCAACAAAATGCACGTCGCGAAAAATTAGAAGTCAGAAATACTTCGAAAAGTATGGAAAACGCTCTGTGCGGCTCCTTATCACTGGAAGCTTTCCCAAACATGTCAAAAAGTAACAGCACAGCAGCCTCCGTATCCTCTGACGAGCGCACGGGACCAACCCATGCAGCTGAGGGGTGCCAGTGCGCATAGATTTACTCCTGCAAATGCTATCAGAATGAACCTTTACCTTAAAACTGGCTCTCAAATTCTAAAAAAAATATATGATGATACCTTTGCCAGTGAACATTTCTTAAAAAGGTATATGTATAAGGGCCCATTTACTGTGTCAGAAATAGGCCTATAGCAAACTAAATAAATGTCTTATTTTGTCAATGTTCTAAAGCCAAATTAAGCAAGTTCTTAAAATAGTATCTGGAAATTTTTTTTTTTTAAAGTTGGCTGTATATATTTTGCCCTTCCCACTATTGTAATGTTAATTATAAATCTGAAGGAAACATTTTCAATAAATATTGTTTCAGGAAAATAGTGCCCAATGAGCAAACTAAAGGTGACAATGGCGAGAAGATGGATATGATTATGCCAAGACATGACATTAGTTGTTGAATCTAAAATATTATCATATCATTGTTAATTTTCAAGGTCGTTTATTTTGGATTGATACATTGCACAGATATTCAACAACTGGCAACCCATAGAAAATATCATGAAAAGCATGTAACTCTGGTAATCTATGATAGGGTCATATTTCATTCAGAGTAAAGAAAATAGCTTTAAATGTTAGTCTCTAGAGGATTGGGATCACATATTTTAGAATATTTCACATTATATAGATTTTACATTCATAATCTTGAGACTGGAGCCTGTTCAGACTAATACAGCACTTTTTTTCTTATCACAACATAATTATATAAATAAACAATATATAAATATATAAATAAATCATCAAATACTTTGTCAGAGGGCCTAACAGTAACATAACTTTTTAATTAGTCTTAATTAACATAAGGCTTAATGTTTTAACTAAAGTATCAAACTAACAGGTCAAAATATTTTAACTAAACAATCTCAACAATTGAGATTGAAATTAAAGTCACGTGCTTTAACATGTATACTCAGCATATGTTTGGCTCTGTGCCTTAAAACAGCCCCAGACATATCCTGGATGATGTAACTGGATTACAGCTGCTGAGGAGAAAGGGGTATAAAATGTATTTCTTACCCTTTAAAATATATTTTGAGTATATCACCATAATATACCAGCTACATGATAAAATAAATAAAAAATACCTGTATACTAATGGTAAATGGACTGCATTTATATAGCGCTTTCACAGACCCAATGGCCACCAAAGCGCTTTAGCCTACATATTGCCTCACATTCACCCATTCACACACCGACGGCGGTGTCAGCCATGCAAGGCACCATCCAGCTCGTCAGGAGCAGCATGGGGTAACACTTGACCACCTGACCAACACTTCTGTTAAATTCTGTTAAATTTATTGTTGAGAGGAAAACCCCTTGAGATGTGACATCTCGTTTTCGAGGGGACCTCAAACATGGCTTTTTTTTTTACTGAAATTTTCTACTGCTTATAAGCCCACTGTCTTTCTTACCTAGTTTTGGGGTTTACTCTCTTAGCAGATAGCCCAATGTGAGCAGCACATGCTCAAGGCTTTTTTTTAGCTTACAATCCACTATTACTCATGCTCGCTTCCTGACACACGTGGCTCTTAATACCCTTCATACTCGCTCCCTGACACACGTGGCTCTTAATACAGTGCATCAGTTTGTAATAAAAACCAAAGCCTTTTAAATGATGGGAATCTGAGAAATGTGCAATTAAACTTTGAACACTTTACATCTTTGTGCCAATATAAGATACTAATTAGGCCAAATTAGACTTTTCACACATTTTCTTTGCTAATCATTGGAATTGTGAGAGATGTCAAAATGCTTAAAAAAAGAAAAGAAAAAGATGTAATATAGCATGATATTTAATAACAAACATGCAAGGGTGTGTAGAATTTTTTTTTTTTAGACATCTTTGGAACATTTTGAGGAGTTCTGCGGACAGAAATTGTGTGTGGGCTCTACACTATACTTAAGCATTAATCTGAGCAGAGCTGAGGCATAAATATGTAAGAATAAAAATAGACTTTTGCTTTAAAAAGTGGGGAAACATAATATTTGCATGTATGCCTTTTACAGCAAGGTAATGAAAATAACTAAATAGCAGAAAACAAAAATGATATGAGGATTGGAAGCTAAATTTCATCACACATCCAAGGAGACACTGGCAATATTCCGATATTGAAAATTGACGGTGTGCACCCCAGAGTCCCCTGTTATTAGATTTGATAGATGAAGCGAAAACAGCCTGGATAAAATCCATTAAATGAACCCTCTGAAGCATGGGATTCACTTCAGTATGCAGATCTTTTTAAAATATTTATGACAACATTTTCTAATGTAATATTTTATTGTATTATTAATTTAATTGAATCGGCCATTAGGCACTTTGTCATGTGTGAAATTGCTTTAATGAGACAAACGATTGATTAGGGACCGTTTGGTATGGAAAGGACCACCAGGAGGGTCTTTTTATTCTTTATTGAGGGGAGGGTCATCCAACTTTTTTTAGTCTAGGGGGAGGGTCACCCATCTTTTGTATTCATGAAAACAGCAACATTTCAAAGTGGCTTGTTTGGTGCATAATTGTCCATGTAGCTATCTCAGTCTCGGCCCCCCATCGCTAGCAGATGGGTCTGACCCAACAAAAATCAGATGCGAAAGATAAAGTCCAGTTTGGCGCTGTTTGACAGTGCGCGCGTGCTCAGAAAAAGTGCATCATGTCCAGGGGCGGAGTGGGACCAAAAAATCTACCGGGACATTTCGTAGACCACCGGCCCTCGTCGCCGGCAGGGCCGGATTAAGAGTTCAGAGGCCCCTGGGCACAATGTCTTGTAGGTCCCCTCTTAGGCAGGCCAAATGTATATTTTGTCCAAGGACATTTTGATATGGCATTTACAGTTTCACTGACTTAAAAGGAACTTTGTTGTACTATGCTGGAGTAAAGTTCATGGTTGTTCTTTCACATAGGATTTTGTAAAACTATGTTGGGTGTACCTCTGTCCCTCTAGGAGGGTTCGGGGGCATGCTCCCCCGCAAGAATTTTTTTTACATTTTTAGGTTAAATGCATCAATCTGGTGCTCTTTGAGAGGTCAAAATTAAGAGCTTCAACCCATGAACTGCTCGTTGAACAAAGAAAAAGCATTGATTTGTACCAGGAAAATAAAGAGGGCTCAAACATCTTTTTAGTTATGAGAGTCTCAGTCTACATTACATTATCAATGGTGTTTTAGGATGCCAAACAATTATTATAATAATGCAATAATGATTTATATAATTATTCCTACGACGTAAAATCCATATAGTCTATAAATGTAGGCTACTGTATAAATGAAAAGGAATATTTCAAAAGTATATTTTAGCCTATTACTTTTGTCCTAATTTCTTCACTTGCAAGAAATAAACCCTTGAGCTTTTATTTTGGAGAAAACAGATTTGCCAGGGGGACCAGTGCCCCCCCTAAATGTGGAGTGTGAAATAATTTTTACAAAACTGCAGGGCTCTCAAGTGTCACGCATTGAGCGTGACAGTCACTCTGACACTCTCACTATGGAACCGGCAGGAATCATGCGCGTCTCCCCTGGGCTGCGTCCGAAATCGCGTACTATGTGAGTAGGTACTACATTTAAATTAGAACGTACTTCGCGACCGTTAAAAAAGTACGTTCTATATAGTATGAATACGGGTAGTATGGATGGAGTCCGGACGTACTACATGCGCCATGTTGAAATAGTCACGTGACATATCCTGTCATAACAAAGCGTCACGTGACAGACGCTGTCATAACAGCGCGAAAATTTAAAGAGCCCATTCCACTGACTGCACCAACTTCGCGCTATGTTTTTAGTTTTGCTGTCCGTTTTCATCGGCGTTTTTACGTCGTTTGAGCTTACAGTCCAGAGGCGGCGTCGGTCAGCTACTCGCAGATCACGCCTTCGTCGAGAGCTTCTCCGGAATTTCTCAAATAACGTAAGTATCATAATTAATTTAACTAATACAGTTTACCTCAGAAAAAACACACTCACAAAAACCTGTGAACAATGACAGATGTTGATTTTTGGCAAGGAAAAATTAATTTATTTTCTTGTGATATTACCATCGATGAATAAACATGAATGAATCAATGGAGATATTTTTTTATTTTAATGGCAATAGTTTATTTACAGTGAAAAACTGAACATAAATACACAAGCTTGATCACAATTACAGATGGCACTTGGAGTCTTTTACATCTGAAGTCTTCATTATTTATATATATATATTAGTTAATTTTTCCCCTGAAAACAACCTATTGCCATTAAATAAATAAAAATATCTCTATTGATTCATTCATGATATACATATATATATGTGTGTGTGTATGTATATATATATATATATATGTGTGTGTGTGTGTGTGTATGTATATATATACATGCACATCCATGCATATATATATGTATATATGTGTGTGTATATATATATATATATATGTGTGTGTGTGTGTATGTATGTATGTATATATATATATATACACACACATAAATATATACATACACACAGAAATATACATATATATGCATGTATGTATGTGTGTACATGTGTATATATGTGTAAATGAGTATGTATATATTCAAATACATCATGCATAAGAAATGGATCATATACATATAAATTAAATACATTATATTTATAAATAAGTCAACACAGGAAACAAGTGATTTGTTGATTCAAATTGTATTCTACAATAAAACTACATACACTTTTACAGATTGTGAGCCCTTCAACCTACTGCCACCTGAATCGTGCTGTACCAATTCTTCGGCTATATTTTGAAGATGGAGCTGACCTCCGCCCCAACCTCCGACTTTCACGGCAGTCCATCCAGTCCCTGATTGCTGCTGTGAAACCTGCTTGCGACCATGGCTGGGAAAAGGACGTTGAGGTGCTGGTGTTCCTCTACTGGCTGGCTCATGCAGCCTCATATCGGGTAGTGTCACTCGCCTTTGATATCCCAAAGTCTACTGTGCACGACATTGTGCACAA